ATTGCATTGAAGCCGCTTGTAGCAATCAGGTTCTGTGGGATAACCACGCAATATTTGAAAGCTGCAAAAAGGTGAAGCAAGGGTCTGGGCTTTGTATCGCGGAGATTAAACAGTTTGTTCTAATTGACTTTGTCCGTGAAAACCCGTGTGAACTTCGACATTATTTAAATGCGTTCAACAGTTGTTTTAACTTTATATAATTGTTAACTTTAGCGACAAGACAGACGTGGCTTCTGTCTACACTGAAAACAAAGAAATGGACGAAACCCCATCCGAACACGTTCCAAGGCAATCCAAAACCATATTTGTCGGTCAGTTGAAACCAAAGGTTACCGCAGCTGATCTGAAGGATTACTTTTCCAAGTATGGCACCGTTTCTGGGGTCAACCTGGTAAAGAATAAGAAGACAGGCGAGTCCCGAGGCTTTGCGTTTGTCACCTTCGCTGATGAGCAGGCTTTTGACAGTGGTGTTTTGGATACCTGTCATTTCCTTGATGGATGTCGTATCATCGTCAATCCAAGGAACTGTCGTGATAAAACACGTGGTTCCAGTGTTCAAGCGCAAATGTAATTAAGTTGTGACCTGTCCTATTTTATTTCGTAGAGTTGCATATTCTTCTTGAAATATTTGTAATACCAGTTTGCATGATAATAACATCAGTTTTTCCACTATCTGTTTCTTAGGGGCTTACAAATATATTACGTGGTTAACCCATAATGGCTGATATATTGCCGCCAAAATATTAACATAAAAAATTTCAGTCTATGACTATAAACGTGCACTTTCATCCGCAAGTGCACGTGGATTCATAAGCACAGTTTAGTGGCGTGCTAACGGAAGGCATCCTTTGGCTGGTTAACTGGGAAGTTTTGGTGGGAGTGAGGACAATTTGTTCAGCTGCAATTAACGTTTTCTCTATGGTGCAAAGTAGCCGTCGCTTAACTGTATTTGAGATATTTTTGTCCATAAAGGGAAAGTACATTAAAAAAACAGTATTTTTTGAACCGACTGGTTCGTAGATTTCGGTCCTAAAAAGCTACTTTATTTTGAATGAAACGTGGAGAATAGCCACGTTGAAGTAAGGCCTTTTTATGCAGGCAATCTATGAAGTAAGGG